CTGAGGTAGGAGAATTGCCTGAACCCAGGAGGCGGAGGTTGTGGTGAGCCGAGATCATGCCATTGCACTCCAGCCTGGGTAACAAGAGCGAAACTCCATCTCAAAAAAATAAATAAATAAAAATTAAAAAAATAAATAAATAAAAATTAGGATACATTCACACAAGAAAATCCTTTAAAAATACTATATAATTTTACAAGAATGAATGGATCAAAATGGGACAATTTCCCAAATACCATTAATGAATAAAGCAAGGTAAAGAACAGCATGTATCATATATGATCCATTTGGCTATAAAGAAATTTTTAACAGAGGTTGCTTCTGTGAAGGAGCAGCTGGGCCCCAGGGTGGGAGCAAGAGTACTTTTTCTTATACGCCTTTGTACTTTATGAATTATGTGCAAAGTTCACGCTTACCTACCTACAACTTGCTGCTCTAATGGGAGTATATGAGGTTTTCAACAAGGCCGGCCTCATGAAGGGATCCAGCGATGCAGGAGCCACTTACCAAAAGTGGCACTTCCTGGCACAGGTGATGGATGCCAGGAAATATGAAAGTCAAGCCCAACAAGAGGAAGCCAAGATCAAAACTAAAGTGATGTGGTGGAAAGAAGAAATGGGGATGAGGCTAAGAAAAGTAGGACTTTAGAGTAAGTATTTAAAAGACGATTAGATAGGCCGGGCATGGTGACTCGGGCCTGTAATTCCAGCACTTTGGGAGGTCAAGGCAGGTGGATCACGTGAGGACAGGAGTTTGAGTTCAGTCTGGCCAACATGGTGAAACCCTGTCTCTACCAAAAATACAAAAATTAGCTGGGCATGGTGGCACATGCCTGTAATCCCAGCAATTCAGGTGGCTGAGGCACCAGAGAATAGCTTGAACCTGGGAGGTGGAGGTTGCAGTGACCTGAGATTGTGCCACTGCACTCCAGCCTGTATGACAGAGCAAGATTCTGTCTCAAAAACAAAAACAAAAACAAAAACAAAAACAAAAAAAAACAAAAACAAAAGCAAAACAACGAGATAAAGGGAAAAGCCGCTTTGAATGGGGGCCTTTAGGAGTTGCTAATGACCTGAACTTAGGGTGCTGTGTACTTATTTACTCTTACTTAACTATAAGTAATTAATAGTAATAACATAATAAAGGCTTGTCATCTACTGGGTTACAAAGTCCAGCTACAAATTAGAGGGGATATAATCTCTATTCAAACGGGATAAATTGAGTATATATCAATATATATGTTTAAACTCAATATATATCAATATATGTTTATAATCAATATTGGTATATATTGAACATACACCATACTCAATCACCAATGTATGATAATTATGTTGATTCTGTTCTTACAGAGTTTGGAAAGGAATATAAATCTAACTTGGGCTTATTCTCAGCCTGAAGGAGGTAACAAGCAATCATTAATTGATGGTTAGCCAAAGCAATAAAGCCTTGCCTTCTTTGTGTTACGTGGCCAGTCTGCTGTGCAATGCAGCAGAGTTCTTTATACCACAACTAATAGCTGTATAGGTATCCACTCCAGTCCTCCTGCTTTATAGTCAAGTTTCAAGAAGGCAGAGACACAGAACCTGGCAAGCAGGCTATGTAAGTAGACACTTGGTGAAAATATTTTGTTCTCAATGATGGCGGTGGTGATGGTGGTGCTGGTGGGAGTGGTGGTGGTAATGATAAACATTGATGTTGTCAACCTATCTTGATGGAAACCTTTTCCAGCCCTACTGTCCTCATAGCAGGGAGTGGGAGGGAAATGGGGTAAGGGGTCAATTTCCAGTTTTGAGCCCCAAACTCTGAGTTGCTAGGGTGACAACCAGATAAGCATGCATTGCCATCACATTTGGCTTTCCAGTCTAGAGCAGTGAGGAGATCCACCCTGACCATTTTTCTTCCAACATTCAGTGCCAAGCTGTCATCTAAAGGCCCAATGCATCTCTACATGGCATCAACAGCGTGGAATACGGGGTTTCACTTGTCAAATGATGAATCAATCTACTATTTCAATTTTTAAGAGGACCAGGCTGGGTTGATTATATTTCCTAATAGAAGTAGTCCAAAAATTAATGTAATTTAAATTAAATTGTTCTCTGCAAGAAGAGTCTTCATTGTTCACTGAGCATAGACCATTCTCAATCAGTTAAACCATCTTGCTAAAATTTAAGCAGTAAGAAAATAACATTTAGAGTTAGAAAAGATCTTAGATTTAGATTGGTTCAACCCTTTCATTTTTACCTCACCACCATATTGCCTCTAAATCTGGGAGTAGACACATTTAAAAAGAAGTCAGCATTTTATGGCTCATCTTTTTTTTTGTCAAAGGAAAAAAGTTGATAGCTTTATAGGAAGAAATTATGCCATCACCTTTCTTTTTTCCTTTTCACTAGAAGTGGGAACAAAGAAGGAAGATGATACTGCAATTTTGATCTCTATAACCTCATTTGAAATCATTCTCTATGATTTAGGTTTTCTTGAAATGAAAAGGACAAATTGTCTTAACTTAGTTAAAGTTGGAGGAAAAAGTTGATTGGATATCCTGTTGTCAAGGAAACGAATTCTCTCTACCTCTCTTTCTTTCTCCTTCTCTCTCTGTTTCTGTCATTTTCTCTCTTTCTTTTTCATTCTCTCTCTCTTTCACACACACACACACACACACACACACACACACACACACACACAAACTAGTTCATACAGTGCCCTTTAAACTCTTCATCTGACATTTAAAAATTATTTTAAAATAACCGAAGTCTCTACTTTGGAAATCTGTACAAGAAACACTGAAGTAAATTGGTTCCTAGAATTCAAACTCAGTCAGGACTCTTTCTGATTCTGGTGAAGGCACCGTCATTCTGAGTCAGTGCTGTGTCTCAGAAGCATATGAGACAGTTTCCAAGTCATTGCCAAGTCAGCTACAGAATGAGACTATCAGAAAGAAAGAGCTGGAATGAGAACCTTTAAAAAGCAATAGGCCGGGTGCAGCGGCTCATGCCTGTAATCCCAGCACTTTGGGAGCCAAGATGGGTGGATCACTTGAGGTCAGGAGTTTGAGTCTAGCCTGGCAAACATGGCAAAACCCTGTCTCTACTAAAAATACAAAAATTAGCCAGGCAGGCGTGGTGGCAGGCACCTGTAACCCCAGCTACCCGGGAGGCTGAGGTAGGAGCATTGTTTGAGCTCAGGAAGCGGAGGTTGCAGTAAGCCAAGATTGTCCCACTGCACTCCAGCCTGGGCAACAGAGCAAGACTCCATCTCAGAAAAAAAAAAAAAAAAAAGCAATAGAACCACACAAGAGTAAGAGAAAGGTGGACAGTTCAATCTCTTGAACTTTATCGAGTGCCTATCATGATTAAAGCAAGAAGCTATGCACTGAAAAATAAAAATGAAAAAGTAAATGAAGGCCAAGTTAAAAGAGATTTTAGGGAGTGAAGTAGGTTGCTTGTTATTTACTGATACGCCCAGCCTTCCCACTTGTCCATCCAAGGAGTACACCTCCCTGCTCCATCGGTGTCAGGCTGGGCAGGTGTTTTGCTTTGGCCTCAAAGTGGCCACTGTGTCCTCCTGCCCACATCCTGCGTTTGGCCATGTGACTTGGTTTGACCAATAGGGTATAAGCGGACATGATGCAGCAGAAATGTATAACATTCTAACACCATCAGGCCTGCTCTCTTGAGTTTTTGCCTTTACCACAAGAACCTGCCATTCTCCTTATACTTCCAAGGAGAATGAGAGACATGCAGAGACTCGGTGCCCCAGGTGAGACCCTACCCAGCAGATACATCCAGAAGTACAGCAGAGCCATCCAGCCAAATGTGGCTTAGGACAGCCAATTTCAGCCAACCCTTAGACACATGATAAATGATAAATTGTTGCTTATGTCACTGAGTTTTGGGGTAGTCTATTATGCAGTAATGAGTAATTCAGAGAGCATCTTAACATCTTAATTTATTACTTCTTCAGGGCCACATAGCAAACCAAAGGTAGAATAACTTGACCAAAACAATGGGCCTCATAAGTGGGGCCATTTCCACAAAGACGACAAGCCAATCCCTTTCAAAAATGGGTATCAGGAGACCAGACATCATGAATCCTATGGAGAGAGGACTCCCAAATCACTAGAGCCCATTGGGATGTATATCAGCAACACAAGAGAGCTTTAACGCATCTACAAAAGTGATCACTGACTCAGAGGTATAGGAAAAGCTGCCAAAAAATCACCCAGTGGCTGAAGAGAAGCTATGTGAAAACCGACTAAAATGATTGGGACTCCAGTGTGGAAAGACACATGTTGAGAATCAATACAATTCAAGCCTGTTAAATCTTGAATAGAGTAAGTGGTCTGAACATGGGTTTGCTCACCAGAATCTGGAATTTTAGAAAGAAAAGAGCATAAAAGGGGGAAATTCAGGAAAAATAAAGAGAAGGGCGATATTACTTTACACAGCCAAGAACTAGGGTGACCATCTGCCCCAGCGTATCTGGGATAGTTGACACTGGGGTAATTATTAATAGCACTTCCTTTCACTTTCAAAAGGGAACTGGATTGGGTGATAAATTACATGGTCATGCTGCTGGCAGCACACTCTCCCCATGGGCTGAAGGACCTGAGTCTGATAAGGTTCAGATACGCTCATGGGGTAAGACCTGCTATGCACTGTCAAGGCATATTGGACAGTTTGTGCTCTGAGGCAAGAGGGCCACCACATCCCATGGTGACATCCCTCAGCACAGCAGCAGGACATGATGATGTGCTCAGCTCAGCAAGGCTGCAAAGCCTGGAAGGTGGTACTCTTTCAGGCCAGCACAGTTCCCCCTGGGGCAGCCCCAGGCTCTTCTCTAGAAGCCTTGTTTGCACTGCAGGACACCATCTTTGTGGGCCCTTCAAAAAACAGAAACACATGCAACATTCTTAATCTTGGCACTTCTTCTATATCAGTTCAACACACGAAAATCGAAATATCATATATAAGAGAAATGTTGAGTTTCCTTCTTACCCACACAGAGGTCCGTACAGCTTTCTGAGCTCCATTTGGCTTTCCCAAAAACCCTGAAGGAAACACAGCACTACAGTAAGAATAAGATTAAGCAAAATTCCAATTATTCAAACTTATTCGGAAAAAAATCTGGAACAGCAAGAACACAATTACAGAAACAATAAAAAAAGAAGGGAAGTTATATTGCTTTCAAGTACTTTGGAATACTGGAATAAACAAATGACTATAAAAAAATATTGCCATGTAAAAGTCTTGGGCATCCCTGCTGCAATGGACAGAAGAGCTCACCAGTTCTTAAACTATTTATGTACCCTTGCTGCTAAAATATTCAAAAAGTTTGCTTTCTCAGCTATAACACTGCCCTCTGAAATCTGATTTACCATTATCATAGGGCCAAGCCCCTTTATACTGCCGCTATCTGTAACTTCTACTGAGTCTATCAAAATTACCACAAATTCTGAATTATCAAGATCCAATCAAGTTAAACTTTAATTAAAATCAACATGTTTGAAACATATAGAACAAAATGCTAGATACTTTTTTGTTGTTGTTGAGACAGAGTCTTGCTCTGCCACCCAGGCTGGAGTGCAGTGGTGCGATCTCGGTTCACTGCAATCTCCACCTCCCGGGTTCAAGCGATTCTCCTGATTCAGCCTCCCGGGTAGCTGGGATTACAGGCACGTGCCACCACGCCAGCTAATTTTTGTATTTTAATAAAGACGGGGTTTCACCATGTTGGCCAGGCTGGTCTGGAACTCCTGACCTCAGGTCATCTGCCTGCCTCGGCCTCCCAAAGTGCTGGGATTACAGGTGTGAGCCACCATGCCTGGCTAGACACATTTTATAATGGGAAAGCAGTGTACCTGGGTTGAAGGAGGAGTGGAATATGCTACACCCATTGTGTGGTCGGAAGGGACTAGACCTGAAAATACTCATGAGTGTGGGTGGTGGTGGGGGGTGGCAAATGGTAGATTTGCATTGTGAGAATGGAGTGTGGGGGCAGAATGAAGGTGGAGAGGTGGGGGTGTGAATTCACATGAAGTATGAACGTCCTGCATGGAAACACGTGCCTTTCTCACTCAGTCTTCTGAATTCTGCAGCGTAAGCTTGCCATACATCAAGGAAAGCATATATGCATATAAAAATAGTCACCAAAATTACTATGTTCTAGAAAGAACTTGGCAGGGCTTGTAGCTGTGAGGATGGCGGGCTGCAAAGGAGCGTATGTGGAGGCTCTCCAGAGGCGGGAGCACAGCGTTCTCCTCACATCTTGGAATGTTAATACCAAATTAATTACTCCACGGAATACAACAGATCATTTCCCCCCAGAAATGCGTGAAATGTATTTTCTTTAGCTTTCCGATCTGGTCTGTTGTTCTATCTTGACACTTTTAAATTTCTTCACACTTGTTTCAAGGGGCTCACTGGAAGCCTCATTGAGGTTGTTGTTTGTGAGCTTGAAAGTTGTGAACTGCCCACCCCAGAGAGACAGAGGAGAGAAGAAGGTGTTTAAAAATGCTAGGAAGACAGAAACAACAACCACAAATCATGGAAAAGGTGATGGACAGGGAAAGGAATGGAAAAGAAATAGTTGAGAAGGTGGAAGCATAAAAGGACAGAAAGAGCAGCTTGCTTTTCTATCGAGTGCCAAGGGCCAGCCTTTCCGGAGGCAGAGATGGGGGAAATTCTAGAGATGTCGAAGGGACATTATCAAGATCGTTCCCTATTTAGTCTTCCTGTCTTTGTTTGGCTTGGTGGTTCTTCCCATGCAGGGTCTGCTGGCTCCTGGTGTTGGGTCTGGAGTCAGTGTCCCCATGACTTAGCAGAATAAGCCATGTGGCTTCTGAGAAAACCCAATGTGAGAAAAATAACCATAGATTATGAAGTCCTGACCTATATCTACAAATGTCTGCTGGCCATTTCCACTGGCATGTCACTCTGGCAAATCCCAGGCAACAGACTTAAAATAAAATTTGTCATCTCCCTGAACCACTCCCCTGCCCAACCTTTTATTCTGTCAACCATGGCCATGCTCCCCGTTTCCCCAGCTCAAAGCTCAGACTCATGTTTGACTCACTTTGCCTTGAATTCTCTACACTCATTTGTCCCAAGAATTCCTAATTTTGCTCCCAATTATCCATCTCTCTTCACTCTCATCACCGCCTAGACCGAGCCATCGTGGCTGCACCCCAGACTTCACCAACAGCTTGGCTCTACAACCCTAACCTAGATTCTTCTATTGAAATTATCACAAACTCTGAATCATCATGAGCCATCCAAGTTAAACTTTAATTAAAATCAACACGTTTGAAACATATAGGACAAAATGCTAGACCGAGATTCTTCTCCCTCGCAGAGCATTCTTCCATTCCAATGTCCCTCTCCTTCGCAAAAATGGTAGCACACAAATAGTTCTTCACTTGCCTTTCTAGCCTGTAAGCATCTAGTCCTTCTTTCTCTCACACAACTACATTGCCCCAAGCACCCTAATCCTTGGCTTCTAGCCAGTCCAGGCTGCTGGTCAACCTGTGCTGTCATTCTCACGTTGGTGCACTCACTCACACGGTGCCGCCCACCTGGTGTGTGTGTCCTCATCTCTATGTCCACAGCCCCTGAAGGACCTCCTTCTTCAGAAATTTCCTAGGATGATTCTGGCCCTGACAGATGACCCTCTCTACTTGACGGGAGACCATGGCTACTGTCTCTACCACCCTATCTAGTGCTAGGGTATATCTCATCTGGTGTTGCATGTCATCATTTGACGGTGTACTTGAGGGCACAAGTAGCCTCTTCTACACTCTAGGGTCTGGTGTATTTAGACACACAATAAATGGGGTTTGGGGGAAATAGGTAAGTGAATGGATGACAGGACTCAAAACATATTGATAGTGGTAAGAGATGATTCTTGCCATCACATAAAAATTCATGTAAGTAAAGGAGGGTTCGTGGCATCACAGAACACATTTACCACTCGAGATGTGGGGACCCGGACAAGAGCAATGTTTCATGCAGAAAGCCTGTCCCGGGCTCAGCATATTTTATTTATTTATTTATTTATATTTTTTGAGAGAGTTTCACTCTTGTTGCCCAGGCTGGACTGCAATGGCACAATCTCAGCTCACTGCAACCTCCACCTCTGGGGTTCGAGCAATTCTCCTGCCTCAGCCTCCAAGTAGCTGGGATTGATGCCCAGCTAATTTTTTGTAATTAGTAGAGACGGAGGATTTCATCATGTTGGTCAAGCTGGTCTTGAACTCCCGACCTCAGGTGATCCACACACCTCGGCCTCCGAAAGTGCTGGGATTACAGGCATGAGCCACCATGCCTGGCCCTCAGCATATTTTATGATGGAAGCCAATGGAAGACAGCCCTTACCTGGCGGAAAAACGTCAAGTTTCCAATAAAAGGAGAAGGCTTGGGATGTCTGATGCCTAACTTCTCCAGTCTTGAGAATGCTGACGTGGAGTACCTGGAGGGAAAAGCAGATTTCAAAAGCTGAGAAATGAAGTTGCATTCATGCTTTAGGCTCTATTAGGAGCTGGAATTACTGAGTTCTCTGGAAGTAAAGGCAAAAGAATAGGTTTCCAGTCAACACATCTAAGAACTGAAAATCAGAGGCCTAGAGTTGAGTAGGAGTCCAGTAAATACCTCCTGTTGAGTGACCGGCTGGAGATCAAAGTATCCCGAAACATGTGAGTTGGAGATGCCTTAGAGATGATGTAGTCCAACTGCCCATCCCTGACCTAGAATTCGTGTTAATAAATGATTTTTAAAATGTCCCTCTCCCCAGTTCCTTTCCTTTGCCTCTATATCCATCATGAGCAATTGCTCAGAAGGCAAGGTAAAAAAAACCAACAATGGCAAAAGCTCCCCGTGCAAATGTGTGTATTTTCATCAAGACTAACCCCTCCCTGCCCACACACGATTTGTCCTTCACCACATTCCCTGGCCTTATAGAGAATATAAAAAATAGGAACGGAGAGAAGGCGCCATGAGGAGGAGACCTATCACCAAACGCTTACAACCTCTTTAAGTCTTTGTTTTCTCGGCCTGCAACCATATGGGAAGCATATTTTCTTAACCAAAAATCAGGAAGCGTGGTCCGACAGATTTCTGTGCCACTTTCCAGGAGAAAGCGGCAGTCTGAGAAGTGCAGTGTGGCTGTCAAAACATTGGAATTACTCGGGTATTTCAACAGTTTATAGGAACAGAGGGATAACACAGTTAAAGTCAGAACTGGCTTAGAAAACCCTGCACATATGGCTCTGATCCCCAACCAGCAGCCAATTAGGTCAAAAGTTCAGTTAGTTCAGCAAAATTAATGAGTCAAACTGGTTGTTTAGCATCACACAGAGATCAGCCAAATCACAATTTAAGGGCAAGGAAAAACATGGTGAATATCACAACAATCTAGCTTTCTCTGTGTATTGGAATTCAAACAATTACTGCTATAAGAATCGCTCTTTTTCGAAGGACAGAGTATTTGCTATAGTCTTTGATCTTTCCCACCTGCAGTCAATAACGAGCACTTAAAATAAAAATACTCAAATATCCAGGGAAAGGACAAGACAGCTTAGGTGCTGGTTTGCATTATTCTGAGCAATGTGTTATTTATTTATTTAGAGACAGGGTCTCTCTGTCGTCCAGGCTGGAGTGCAATGGAGGCTCAGTGCAGCCTCAAACTCCTGGGCTCAAGTGATTCTCCTGCCTCAGCCTCTCAAGTAGGTATGTGCCACCATTCCCAACAAGTATTTCAGATTTTTTGTAGAGACAGGGTCTCACTATGTTGCCCAGGCTGGTCTTAACTCCTGGCCTCAAGCAATCTTCCTGCCTTGGACTCCCGAAGTGCTGGGACTAACGGCATAAGCCCCTACGCCAGGCCAATGGGTCGATTTTTAAAGTGGTCACAGGGAAAACCACGGCAGAATGGGAAGGCAGGATGTCCTCTATCCCAAGCTGTCCTAAGATTTCCACCGCATGACTGCATTAACAGGTTTGAATGAATTCCCAGTACGTCACATTTAGGTCCATGTTCAAGTGTGATTACAAACCACACTTAAGAGCCAGGCGTGAATGCCACGGATTAGTCATACCAACACTCCTCTTTATTAGTGTGAGTACCGAAGGTCGACAGCATAGTTGGTAAAAGTTACTCTTTCAAGTGGACTATAATGTTTTAAATAATTCCCCTGACAACTGAGAGGAAAGACCAAAGGAAACTTACTAGCCCTTAACACTTTCTTTAACATCCTCAAATCGACATCTACGTTCATTTCTTCATCAGCTTTTTGGAATTATTTTCTAAATGTAATCTCTAATGGGTAGGAAAAAAGATGTAGACCTTGGACCACATAATTACATCTTAATTTTGTAATTAGATGTCTTGATTGTCTAAAGGACAAGAAGCCTGTGCCTAATTATACATGCTAATTTTTATGCAAGTCCATGCCTAATTATGTAACTCCACTTATGAAAATACTGCTAGTGTGTCTATGCACAAAATTCAGACATTTTCAAACAAATGGCATCAGCAGAGAGTGTCCTGGACACAACCACAAACTTCCCTTTGTAGCCTCGACTCAAATCTAGAACTTGAGTATCTTCAGCTGTGGAAATTCACCAAATATTGCCATCAGTCACTCAAGTCCCCACACCCAAATCTGCAGGGAGAGATCATTACTACCAAATTTATGGGCAAAATAGCAAAATGGGCTCCATTTGTCTCCCTACCACTTCCTTCTCTGCACTCTTGTTTCATACCCTCTGGTCTCAGGGTCTCCATGCTGCCCTTTGACTGTCTCAGCAGGTTCTTAATCCACAATCCATGGGCCCCAGGTGTAATGGGTTGAATTGTATCACCACCAAAAAGATAAGCTGAAGTCCTAACCTCCAGGATCTCAGAATGTGACCTTATTTGGAAATAGGGTCACTGCAAATATAATTAGTTAAGATGAAGTCTTAACTGATTAGCAGTGGCTCACACCTGTAATCCCAACACTTTGGGATACCAAGGCAGGCAGATCACTTGAGGCCAGGAGTTTGAGATCAGCCTGGCCAACATGGTGGAACCCCATCTCTACTAAAAATGCAAAGAATTCACCAGGTGTGGTGGTGCACGCCTGTAATCTTAGCTACTCCAGAGGCTGAGGTAAAAGAATCTCTTGAACCCAGGAGGAGGAGGTTGCAGTGAGCCAAGATTGTGCTACTGCACTCCAGCCTGGGCGACAGAGTGAGACTCTGTCTCAAAAAAATAAATGCATAAAATAAAGTCATACTGAAGTACAGGGCCCTTCAATCCAATATGACTAGTGCCCTTACAAGAAGATGGCCATGTAAAGACAGAGATACACAGGAAAGTGCCAAGTGACTATGAAAGCAGAGAGTGCAGTGAGGCCACTGCAAGCCAAGGTTATGTCAAAGATAATCAGCAAGCCACTAGAAGCTAGAAAGAGGCAAGGACGGATGCTCCCCTATAGGGAGAACATAGCCCTGTAGACACATCAGTTTCAGGCTTCTGGCCCAGAACTGTGAAACAGTAAATTTCTGGTGGTCTGGGTGTGGTGACCATGCCTATAAAACTAGCACTTTGGAAGGCCAAGGCAGGACAGTGTTTGAGCCCAGGAGTTTGAGACCAGTCTGGGCAACACAGCATGACCCTCGTCTCTACAAAGCATCAAAAAATTAGCCAGGTGAGCCTGGGCATGGTGGCTCATGACTGTAATTCCCAGCACTTCAGGAAGCCGAGGTGAGCAGATCACTTAAGGTCAGGAGTTCAAGACCAGCCTGTCCAACATGGCAAAATCTCATCTCTACTAAAAAAAAAAAAAAAAAAGCAAAAGTTAACCAGGCAGGGTGGTGCACATTTGTAGTCCCAGCTACTCAGGTGACTGGGGCACAAGAATCACTTGAACCTAGGAGGTGGAAGTTGTAGTGAGCCAAGATTGTGCCACTGTACTCCAGCCAGGACAATTAAGTAAGATACTGTCTCAAAAAATAAATAAATTAATAATAATAATAATTAGCAGGGTGTGGTGGCACACACCTATAGTCCTAGCTACTTGAAAGGCTGGGACAGGCAGAGAGATTCAAGATGGCTGATTACTAGCAGCTCAGGATTGTAGCTCCCAGTGAAAGCACAGAGAAGGAGAGGACACCACACTTTCAGACGAATTTTTGTTGTTCACATACCAGGAGACTCCCAGCGGAGGAGCCCCACGGGTCGCCAGTGCGACTCTTGTGGCCAGCGCAGCGGTTTTGTTGGCGCCCTGGTGCAGCGGTTCCCGATGCAGAGTAAACGGGACTGGGTCCCCTTTTGGTCAACGTTTGGAGCTCCGGGAAGGCAGAGTCACCCATTCAGCTGATTGAAAAAGAGACTCAAGAGGGAAGCCAGACCAGAGATTCCCAGGCAGAAAAGCACCAAGAATCTTAATGCCACTGTTTTGGCCAGTGCAGTGGGTTGCTCAGATTCTGGGGCTGGGAATCAACAAGCTGGACATTCACTCAGAGACCTAATTTGAAAGTCAGTAATTACAAAGATGACAGGTGGATAAATTTACAATGATGGGAAGAAACCAGCGTAAAAAGGCTGAGAATACTCAAAATCAGAATGCCTCTCCCTCTACAGGGGATCACAGTTACTCATCAACAAGGGAACAAGGCCTGAGGGAGAACGAGTGCGTTCCAATAACAGATATAGGCTTCAGAAGGTGGATAATAAGAAACTTCTGTGAGTTAAAAGAACATGTTCTAGCCCAATGTAAAGAAACTAAGAACCTTGAAAAAAGGTTTGACGAAATCCTAATGAGAATAGACAATTTAGATAGGAATATAAGTGAATTAATAGAACTGAAGAATACAATACGAGAACGCTGCGAAGTATGCACAGGTTTTAACACTCGAATTGATCAAGCAGGAGAAACGATATCAGAGGTCAAAGACCAACTTAATGAAATGAAACGAGAAGACAAGTAAAAAGGAATGAGCAAAGTCTCCAAGAAATATGGGACTATGTAAAAAGACCTAATTTACGTTTGATAGGTGTACCTGAATGTCATGAAGAGAATGAATCCAAGCTGGAAAATATTCTTCAAAATATTATTCAGGAAAACTTTCCTAACCTAGTAAGGCAGGATAATACTCAACTCCAGGTAATACAGAGAACACCACAAAGATATTCCTCAAGAAGAGCAACTCCAAGACACATAATTGTTAGACTCACCAGGGTTGAAATAAAGGAGAAAATTCTAAGGGCAGCTAGAGAGAAAGGTCAGGTTACCCATAAAGGGAAGCCTATCAGACTCACAGCAGATATCTCAGCAGAAACCCTACAAACTAGAAGAGAGTGGGGGTCAATATTCAATATCCTCAAAGAAAAGAATTTTCAAACCTGAATGTCATATCCAGCCAAACTAAGCTTCATAAATGAAGGAAAAATAAAATTTTTCATGAACAAGCAAGCACTCAGAGATT